GCGGAGCAGCAGCCTCGGCCCGGCAGCTCTCTCTGACCCCCCGCAGGTGTCCCGCTGCAGAGAAAAGCCTTTGCCGAAGGTTTCCATCGGGCTGGGGCTGAGCCTGCTGGAAGCGAAGCCTGGGGCAGGGAGAGGGGTGGCGGGAGGGCAGGGGGTAGCTGCAGCCCACGGTCCCATCCCCCAGCCGGTGATGCTGTGGGTGGCTGTCCTTGGAAAGGAAAACTGGAAAACAAACGATCCCAACCTGCAGCCGGTGCTGGGGGAAGCTGGGGGCTGGAAGCTCCCCTGGGAGGAGAGGCCGGCTGTAGCACAGGGCTTAGCTTGGTTGGGAGCTTTGCCAAAGGCTTCTCCTGCCACCTGGTTTACCAGGGGGACCCTGTGCCCCTCTGCAGGACCTGTCTTTGGGGACTGGCACTGGCAGCGCCTGCCCCCTGCCATGTTCCCGGCACCAGAGCATCACTCAGCCATGCCACCTCCCGTGCCTCCCGCAGCCTGGGCTTGCTCTGCCCTTGCCTTGCCCATCTCCTGCCCAAAACTGGAAGGGGTTGAGCCTTGGGCTCTTCTGGTGGGATCATTCCCAGCTTTCTCTTCCTGGGAGGACCTGCCCGCACCATAGCTGATGCCAGTGAGCGTGGCGGGGCTGGCAGTGTCTACGGCGGGGCCCTGCCACCTGCCTGTCCTCGGGCTGTCCCAGCCTCGGCCCCGGCAGACGCCCCCTCCTTCCTCGCTTTCTTTTCCTTCCAGAAGTAGCTGCTTTTGCTCAGGGAGCAAGCGTGGGGGGGGCGGTGTTGCTCTGCCGGGGTGGCTCGCCACGCTGCCGGGCAGTGGGTTTGCGGTGGCATAGGGCTGCCTGGGCCTGATTTGTCCTTGCCTGTCCCCAGGGCCCCAAAACCCGCGTTAGGAAGTGCCCAAAGAGCGAGAGAGCTGCTCTGCAAAAGTGCCTTGACGAGGAGTGGGCAGGGGTGGCAGGAGGGGCAGAGCAGGGGACGGTGAAACCCGGTGGCTCGGATGCTGTGCTGGGGGTTTGGCTTCGGTTCTGAGCGGGACAGGAGCATCCTTTGGTGTCGCATTGGGTTGTTTTGTTTTGTTTTGTTTTTTTTTAAAGGCAGGAGTTCGGGCTGGAGCTGAGTAGGCTGCCCCAGCTCTCCTCCTGCCCTCGGCATCCCGTGGTGAGGACGGCTTCCAGGGCCCTAAACCAGCTACCACGTTCAGGGAAGAAGAGCCGCAGCGGGTGGTCCCCCCTGGCCAGCCCCTCTCCTCCCTCCCACAGCCCCCACCACCGCAGCCCCCCAGTGTAGCACCTTTTGGTCCCCGCTCCTCCATGGCACCCGTGCCAGCACTGCCCACCCTGGGCTGCTGCTGAAGGGTCGGGAGCCATCCCAGCTGGGTCCCCCTGTTCCCCATCGGGGAACAGGGTGATCTACTCTCAGAAATCACAAAATCACGTCTTAAGGAAAATTCCCCTTTTCCCTCACCCTCTTCCATCTGCGAAATCACATCCCGCAGTTCCTGAGGGGGGCAGAACCCCAGCTGGGCGGTGGTGGCAGCGGTGACGGTGATGGTGGCGGTGGAAGATGCTTTATTGATGGGGAGTTTCTCACCGCAGCCTGGGGAGCAGCGGCTGGTGTGGAGGATGCAGCTGGGGGATGATTTAGTTTTGGTTTGGTTTTGGAGGGGAAGGGAAGGAGTCTGGCCACAGGTTGTACCAAAAGCAAACTGGTGGCACCGGGTGGCTTCCTGTGGTGGCTCTTCCCTGGCAGCGCGGTGGCTGTCCCCAGCCGGGCTGCAGCTCAGTGGCCCCCATCAGCTCCACTCCTGTTGCTGAGAAACCTTGTAAATATGTGAAGAAAGGGTGATATCTGAACTCTTGTTTTTTTCTGAGCACCTCAGTCTGCTGGGTCCTGAAACGGAGTGTGTCCCTTCCGTTCTTTTCATTGAAAGCATTGAAGTTTGGTTGGTTTTTTCTTTTTTTTTTTTTTGTTGTTTTTTTTTCCCCTGTTTTGTTTGTGTAAATACTAGTCTTTTTTGGAAGAAATAATGTAAAGATGTTTTGTATAAACTCTGAATTATTTTCTGGTTGCTTTTTCTTAGAAAAACAAATGAGAACAAAACAAAAAAAAAAAAGAAAAAAAAAAAAGAAATTTTAACCACAAGAACGGGTGTAAAACATTGTCATACTGCGCTCAGCCCCGGAGCTGCCCCGCGGGGCTGTGCTGGTGTGCGGGAGCTGCCGGGCAGAATGGCTGCAGGGGGACTCGGTCCCCGCTGCGGGGGTCGGGACGGGGTGATGGGCTGTGGCCTCGGTATAATGCAGGATCCGCTGGGCCCCAAGCAGAGAGCGAGGTGCAGCAGGGCTGGTCGTGCCCCTTGCAGTGGGCACAGCCCCGGCGCTCGTGGCAAGGTCAGACCTGGCTCGTTCCCAACAAGTTTCTGGCCATCCTGGGTCTGGGCAGAGCTTTCAGCCCCGGCCTGAGCATGGGCAAGAGACTTGGTAACAGAAGGTGAACTCAAGGAGCATCAAATTTGTCTCCTTTTTTATCTTTAACCAAAAAAAAAACCACCCAAACCTCGGGATGTGTAACTCAATGCAGCATCCTGAGATCCCGATCTGCTTTTCCAGACCTATGGAACTGTTCCTTTTGCAAATCCCTTTTCCTAACTATCCCTGTTTTCCACTTGCCAACCGCAAGCACACAGTAGCCCGATCTCTGCTTGGTGCCCAGACTGGGGGTGACTTGCTCCTCTTCAGCAGCACCCACGTTTTGCACAGGGCAGTGCCAGGGGTCCCTGCCCTCGAGGAGGTGGCCGTGCCCACTAAAGCCATCTCCGGTGTCACCGGCATGCTTGGCACTTCCCTGGCAGCTCCTTGTAGTCCCAGTTGCCCTCAGGAGCAGGGCAGTTGCCTGTGAATCTGCATTATATTGGGAGAGGGTGAGGGGGGGGCTGCCACAGCCTCCGCTGCCCTGGGGGGGGTGGGAGGTGCTGGAGCAGGGCTGGTCTCCCTCCCGGCAGCACCGCACACCAGCACACCCGCACCGCACGCTCCCACATTTCAGAGCTGTGACCACGTCCACATCCCCCGGCGTTGCATCCGCGCCCTCACCACGGTCCCGAGTCCCGAGGCGGGGGAAAGTCCCTACGTTCCCCGGGCGGCCCCATGTCGCACGATCAACCAGCCGTGGGGCTGCTGACCCCACCCCGTGCCCGGCTGCCCCTGCCACGGTGC